GAAAACCAGTTTGGCTATAACTTGATTATTGGTTACGTACAAATCAAATATTGAATTATTTAAATTTGATTTTTCCCCCTCCGGTAAATGAGTTGAAAAAGGCTAATTTTCGTTTTTTTCGACTGTGTGACTTTCTTTCTTCGAATCAAAATATAAAGATACAGGTGAGGCTGTAATAAAATTAAAAATTAAGTGCAATGTACGAGAATTAAATCAAAGTTTAGCATGCAAAAATCGTTTGAAGCGCTAAACTTAACAATACTAGGAAATTAAAAAAAAATTAATTTTGTAAGGGAGAATTAATTTGTTTTCAATTAAAATATATATATATATATATATAGACTTTTTTTTTTAATTCGTAAATTGTTTACACCTAGAGCATTTCAATTCAATGACTTATGTCGTAAATCATTGAAATGAAATGCATATATGAAAGAAAATCACTGATCCGTATGTAACAACAACAAACATTCCGAAATTAATTAATTAATTAATTAATGTTAAAACGACACACTCACCTTGGATGTTTTTAGATTTATTTTAATTTCTTAAATGACACCTTTTATCTGGTCTTCAAAAGATGACAGAAATTCTTATAACAACACGTAAACTTCTTAATGAACAGAATCATTGCGACGTTATTTGTTGTCAGGTTCATTCAAATACCGAAAAAAAAATAAAACGCATGACTCTCTCAAAAAAAAAAAAATAACGGAAGTTGTCGGTGTAGAGCGAAAATAGTTCCTCACGTAAAAATGAGCCTAGATTCTTTTTCTCATTTTTTTTTTTTTTTTTTTCTGTTAATCTAAAAGAAACCACTAAGCCCAAGTTCAAAATTTAGTCTAGTCTGATGTATTCACTTTAGAACTAATCCATTGGAGAAAGGCACAAATCCATATCTCCCCCACTCTTTGAACTATTAATTAAATCAAGTAGTAGGTTGGGCTGGGCTCTCTAGCCTCAGATGGTAATCTGTCTAGAAGAAGGGCCACTCTGATTTTAATAACCATGCAACAGTAAACTAATCCACAATCTTTCTTAAAAAGTCATGGCAATTTACTGATAATAAAGAAAAAGGAATCTGTGGAGAGCCCGTGCTTGATTCAAAAATCGCTATCACTTGACTTAAAATATTTTTGCCCTTCCTTGTCTTTAAAGGAGTGCCCTTTGCCGTGCTGATGTTGTTACATGCCTTACTTCTTGCCTATCTCACACTGTTAATTTTTTCTAAGCCCTATACTAAACATTAAATCTTACGAAAAAAAGAACTAAACAAAATGAACACAAAACGATCAGCTTTAAAAAAGGACTCGTAACTGGAAAAACTGAATGAAAAAAAGAATGTTAACAACAAATACTTTTTCACACCCAACCCAGTTCTGCGGAATCAGAACCAACGTTGAGTTTAAGCAAGCGAATGAGCCAATTGGAGTAAAGTGCCATGCAGATTTAAATTTTTCCCACTTGTGACAAATGCAGCTATCGATTTTTTTTGCATGCTAGTTAACATTCGTGTCAATCAGTTGTTGGTTCTCACGCTGGCCAATAGAATCTTCCTGCCTATTCGTGGCAGCCAGCTATAGGCTCTCACTCTGGCCAGTACAAAATGGCTGCAAACTACATGAAAACTGTCGTAGAGGCATGAAAAAATCGATTATTTCCACTATCGAATGGAGTTGGGAAATGCAAAGTCGGTCTTGGCCTTCCCGCTAACTTGGAGCATGTGCATGTATATTTTGGTGCAAATCCGTCGAAAATTGCGGCCGTGCATTCGTTACACACACACAAACACACACACATCCTGTCTGTTATAGATAGAGATAATATATGCGAATGTCAGTGTGTCACACTTTTTCAACTTGAAGGGACACAACTCTGTAACTTTAACAAATTACTGTTCTCAAATTACACTTTTTCAAAATATAATCGTCCGTGTTTTCAACTTTACTCTTAGAGGCCGTAGCCCAACATTACATCACTTTTTTTGTTATTATTATAATTATCTCCCAATGTTAGACGGTCATCCGTCGTGGAAAAGTGGCAATATATTTCGCAACTCAAGGTAAGTGCTATTGCTTCTTTTTTTCTTTTCTTTTTTTGCTTGGCCTGACCAGTCTCTGTTCGTTTGGGGGATCGGGAGCATTTTCTCGAGAGACGTAACCCGAATTACGAATGACTCGCTCTAATCGAAATCAAATAAATAAACATATATTATTTGTTGATAGCTTTGATTCTGTTCGTCCGAAGTTTTCGATAAATAATATTAAGAACTCTTTGGCACTTTCTCTACAAGTGTTTGTGGTTAAAATAAGGCCATTTTAGTGATAGTGCAGACTCGTCTTTTCCTACCTATCACCCCTAGTAACAGAACAGTCTATATCTTACGCCTACGTACGGAAAACTTCAACCAATTAAAAACCGTACTAGACGAACCAACAAATCTCATTGGTCAACGACACTATATTCTGAAAGTTTCACGTGCAAAAAACGAAATTGCGCCAAAACTCAAGTGAGCCGATTTCGGACTTTCAGAACTTATAAAAGAAAACGTCGACTGACCCAAGCAGTCAGTGACGAACACCCACAGAGAAATTGCCAACATACTTTACGTCACTCGAAATCACGATTTTGCCGCGCAAAGGTACATCAACGCTGACTCACTCACAATTAAAACTCAACCAACTCTGTGGACATCGATTCTCAAACATTGCTTATCTAAAGTGAATTATATTCACTACCTATTAAGAAACATCAATGTGCGAACGACCTTAAAACATTACAGTCAAAGGTAGATCACTCCTTAAGAACTCCTTCTAAAAAGACACTTAAATATTGACAATTCTAATACCAACACAAATCTAAAACGGACTGCAAATGAACGAACGATGACAAAGAGAGACATTCTGAAATCTAAAACATCATACACATTTTGCCAACATAACATATACCAATTATCCTGTTTGTATATTGTTTTGAATTGTATATAAATGTTATATTAGTTTCTAATTGAATATGTCTTGTTCTTAATCGTATTTTAAATTTCGTTTATTTATTTGTTGTGGACGCAGAAAGTCACGCAACCTACACAAATTCCTTCTGATTCTTTCAAGCATAATTAATAAATTCTGCACGTCCCCAACAATAGAATGATAAGCTAATGGGTTAAAGTAGCTAATGCCGGCCTTAGAATATGCTCTAATTGTAGCCTTCTTCTCAGGTGATCCGTCCGGTGTCCAATCCATTTGATCTGATCGATTTGTCCGCTTCAACGCAAACCTTGCCTTATCCCCCATTGTGTTTTTGGGTTTGTAGAAGACCGTTAGGTGAAGATGTGATGTATTGTAGAAGAACACACGTGAGTTAAGATTTTCCTGCTAGCCGGTCCAACTACATGAGAAAGATGGACTTTAATTAAGTCCAAAGAAGGCAAAGAAAAACAAACACAAGACCGATAAATATATGTTAACAAAAAAAAAAAAAAAAAAAAAAAAAAAAGGCTTGGACACAAGCGTCTTTTTAAATTTGGATTTTTTAATGTAACTATAACAACAAAAACAAGTCGGAAGACGAAACGCGTCGACAAAATCTAAGGTTTTTTCCAATTGTCATTTGATGCCAAACAAATATATGTATTAACAACAAGTTAAAGGTTACAAGTACATGGACAGAGTGCGTGTGGTGAATATTACGTGTGTGTGTTGTGAATATTATGTGTGTGTGCGTTGTGGTAAATATTATATGTATGTGTGTGTGTGTTGTGGTGAATAGTGTGTGTGTGTTGTGTTGTGGTGAGTGTTCGTATGTACGTGTATTGTTCTTAGCGTGTTCCCAGCATTTGGGAAACGCTGTATCTGTGAGAGCTCACATCTGCGAAGTGGTATAAGGCTGAAGGCCTGAGGAAAAGAGATTTACCTCAAGGTGGCGGCCCAAAGGCCTGAGTGAAAAAGAGAAAGAGGCGAAGAGTCAGCCAGTATTTATAGCCAGGGGAGAAAGAGACCCCTGTTGAAGGGTTAAGGAGCTGAGGAGGGGCTAACTCCGACAGGTTTGAGCATAAGCCTGCAAAGATCGAATTCTCGACGGGAATTGTCGTATTGGGTTGTCCCAGACAGGGTGAAAAAATAAATAAATAAATAAATAACTTGAATAAAAATAAATGCTTTTATATACGTTCCGTTTGTACAGTGCTTGGTTAATCTTGACGTTAAAATTTATCAATTCTTCATGCAGGAAATTATCAGCGCGATTCGCTTCGTAAGTTAAACGCCGGATGTTCTCTTCAGGCAGGCGGCCACGTGATATCAGGCAAGACGGTCGTCTCTGTTTTTAATCGTTTTGATCCGATTTTGCGGGTGTGCAAATCTACTTTGTGTTTTTTAGTCACTTGTTGGAATGATAGAGGATTTGTATCCTATAGTGATATTTTTTTTGTTTTCTTTAGAAAACCCCCGGTTTCAGAAAATTAGCTTCTCTTTTGAAAGAAAAAGAGAAATCTTCATTCTTTCTCTCGGTCTGTCCATCGTTCTATCCATTAACCCTTCTCGTCCAGTTCTGAGCGATGTATCTAATTTGCATTCTCCACATAAATTCGCTAGAATAGGTTGAGAGCATCTCTTTCTCTGAACCAAACGTTCTTTCAATTTATGTTTGTCATATGTCTATTCAAATATTCTTGTTCTATCAGTCAGTTATATGCCATGCGTGATACATGCTTAGGTAATCATGAATCTTTCGATACATGACTGACGAGGCAGATTTTTCCCGCAATAGGTTGCCATTTCTTTCTACGGTAGACAAGTTGCCATCCAAGGCTATAGAACACAGTCTGTCCTGCTATTTACCCATAGCTGGTGGGAGCGGGAGAAGGAAAGGATTCGTACCTTTCTCAAGGGTATTAACGCATAAGTGAATGTATTGTAATGGATTCGACTGGAATTCGAACCCGGCTCGCCGATTCCTCTATAAGCAACACATTATTATAAATTGTATGATTAGAGGCTCACAGCCACATCGCGCTGAAACACCGGTTCTCATACGTTCATTAAAGTTAAGCAACATTGATCCTGGTCAGTAGCTAGATGGGTGACCGCTTGGGAATATTTGGATCTGGTTATGTACAGTGTGACCCGGATATAAGAGAGTTGTCCGGACCGGAGAAAAAGTCTCTTGTATCCGGGTTTGGTCTATTTTGTTTAGGCAAGTATGGGCTCTAATTTGGGACCAGAGAAAATCTCTCTTATATCCGGGTTTCTATTATATCCGGGTTACACTGTATATATAATAGACCAAACCCGGATATAAGAGACTTCGTCTCCGGTCCCGACAACTCTCTTATATCCGGGTTACACTGTAATAGATAATGGCTTGGAATTGTTCATTTCTTATTACTTCGAGCAGATCAAAAGACCAAATTGCCCGGGAATATTTCTGTATGGATAGAAAACTGTTTTTTAAGATAGTTTTTTTTTGTTTGCATTTAAATCAGAAGTAATACATCTAGCCTCATGTGAAAAAAAAACAAAAAACAAAAAAAAAAAAACGTTGAGCCATCTACATCCACTATGGCTTTACAGTTGTTTAATAAAATATTATTTAATTACTATAAATAAAAATAAGTATAACTTTTAGTTTCTTAAAATATTATTTATCTACTATAATTCTATAAGCAACAGTTAGTCAGTTATGTGCCAGGCGTGTTAGGCGATCATGTACCTCACTTTAGGGATGTCCAATTAGAGCACGTTAAAAAAAACGTATACCCTGTTTAAAAAAAAAAAAAAGAAAAAAAGGTCCAAAAATTGATAAAACAATTTTTAACGTCTAAATGTTTACGTTATTGTTAAGAGGAAAGGCTAAAGTATTTTCTGAATATTTTTCTAGATTTTTTAATCCTTCCTATTGTTATAAAATAAAATAAGACATATCTCGGCTGATTTACAGGCAAATACTCAAGAGCGACAACCGGATGTGAACGGGACAAAGCCTCGTCACAAAATGACCATTATTCTTCTTTACAAATGTTCCCGACACACGTGTTCCGGTCGAAAAATAAAATAATATTTAAAGTGCTCTATTTTTCGTCCAATAAAAATGCTTCCCTCCTAATTATATTCGCTTCGTTTTTCGAGCCTGTTAAGCCATAAAAAACGCTATAAAAGGAGTCACACGGAAGTTCAACAGGCAGTCCACAGGTGACCGCAAACAGACCTGTCACGGTCAGGCCGAGCGATCAACAGTAGGAGAGCATCAACCACCGTCAATATGCGTGAACTACTATGAGAGATCGACCTAGATCCGAAACCGGCTTATGAACTTTACCACAAGGTAGCTGTCCCAAACCCACACGTTCCTGTTGAAATAAACCACGTAAATCTATTTCTGCTGTTGTCGTATTTCTTTCTTGCAACCATACGCTTGTCTATAACACTATCCTGTTAATAAATTGATTCAAATATCTTGGGTTTTTTTTTTTTAGTCAATGAAATTTACTAGAAAATCAAGCCGATCGGTCATTTTTTTCTGAACTTAAACAAAATTCAAAAATATCATTTGTAAAATATTTTAAAAAGTGAAGTATAATTTTTTCAGACGTTTTTTTTTAGGATAATGCTTACTTAATGTAATTTTAAAGAACAGTTACTTACTTTTCTAGCAGAAAATTTTTTAAGAGACATATCTCCAACCGTGGTGACCGGTTTTGATATTATGTATGCAAATTAAGATCAACAAATATTTTAGCTTAAATAAAGAATTAATAGATTTTTTTTTTTACCTATCTCAAATTTGCATTTCTTTCACAAGTGTTTACATCAATGAGGTATTGCCTTTCTATTGACAACCTTTTTGTCGGGACTACCAATAAATAATATTTGTAGATATTAAGCGAAACACATAATGAATGACATTCTTCTGTCCATGTAAGAACAGAAAAAATCCAGGCTATAGAAGGCGGACTAAAGAAGTGTTACAAGATGAGATCTTGCACTGCTTCGATAAACGGAAGTTACCATCACGAGTCCCCGACTCGAAATGAAAACTGCACGTCTACGCATAGGCTCGACGCAGATACTTCCGTTTGGGATAAATTAAAAAAAAAAAAATGAAAGAATTAAATCAACCAATCGGACCGTCTTCCGCGTAGTCAAAAAATTGCCATTTGGAACCGATAGGCGTGTATAACTTCAACACGGGAAAGTCAAAAGGGAGTCCCATTCAACGGCGGAGACAAAAGGGTCACGTCGCTCGCTCTTGACACACTGGCCCGGCGACGAAACGAAGCATGTGACCGCTGCTGCTAATGAACTCTCGTCCGACGCTTTGTCAAAGGGTACCTTTCCCCTTCCATAAGTCAAGTTAACTCCACAAACTTTACTTGCCACTACCATAGACATTCAACTTCTTAAATACGAACCTTTTACTTGTTCTTATTTTCCTCACTAAAAAGACTATAAAATATATCTACAGTCTTTCTTGTTCTTTCGATTCTGAATTTCATTGTTTGCAACCAAACGCAGTATTTCGCCCACATTGTTTTCACATCGCCCACGCATCTAAATACGGAATATAACACTGGTGTCAGGAGTGGGATAGTGTACTTATACACGCCTATCGGCTCCAAATGGTAATTTTTTGACTACGCGGGAGACGGTTCGATTGGTTGATTTAATTCTTTCTTTTTTTTTTTTTTGAGTTTATCCCCAAACGGAAGTATCTGCGTAGACGTGCAGTTTTCATTTCGAGTCGGACTCGTGATGGTAACTTCCGTTTATCGAAGCAGGGCAAGATCTCATCTTGTAACAGAAGCTTATTTGTACCATTATGGTTAGCCAAAGGCCCCAAAAGATACCATGAGAATTATAAGACCTATCAGGAAGTTTACGCAGTTACCAATGCATGAATTTTAATTCCTACAAAAAAAAAAAAAATTACCCAAGAATGCAATCGGTCATCGAAAATGCATAATTTTTAACCTCTTCCCTCAAATTATCTTTGCATAGTGCAAATCCCTATTTTTTACATAAAAAATGATCATAAAAAGTCACATTACTCTAGTATAGTGATTTTCCAAGCGTAGCTTGGATGTGGCACAAGCCCGAAAGTCGTAATTATTCGGTAAATATTGGTTTTGTTACCCGTGCGTAGTGATTTTCTGCAAGGAAAGTCTGTAAAAGAAGTAAATAGGCCAAATTTTCTGATTACGCCTGTGTAGGTACTATGCAGTGAATTAGTAATCATGATGGCAGTAATGGGGGACGAATGACCAACAAGAAGTCCGATTTTTTTCTTGTCGATAAACCCCAAATTCTGAAGGTTTCTTCATAATTTAATTGTTAATTCGAGTTCAGCATGTACATTTGCACGGAATTATGACGATTTTGGAAAAATTTTAAGGGATATTAGCGCACTGGTAACAAAACCAACATTTACCAATTATTCTAGCGAGACAAGCTTCTTAGCCATTACACCACCTCGTGGTGCCCTCATTATACTCTGGTATATACGGTATCCCAAGAACCTCTCAAACACACCTACATTGATATATAGATATATATATATATATATATATATATATATAAGTTATGAAGAACTTGTATTTAATGAAAAACAGACCAATATTATTGTAATGGTACCTTAAAGTGGTCTGCTTTTCATTAATTTATATATATATTCAAAGGTGAATTCACAAAACTCAAAAGATATCTGATAGATGTATCTGAGCAATTTTTAAATACATATCCAGATACTTAAATACATTCTACTCCATATTCTCAAATCTAAATTGGGTTGGGGGGGGTGTACAATAAACACTGCAAGAGAGAATAATCATTCTTTAAAATTTGTTTTTTATTTATTTTTTTTTTCATTTCACTAGATTAATCACTTCAGATTATGAAGATAAAGAAAAACAATTTATATTAAATTTCATAAAATCTGAAATAGGGGTCCAGTTTGCTATGTAAATTCTTTGTAAATTGATCCCCACCCCATGGAAGTCAAAACAAAATAAGCTCATACCATGTGATTTCTTAAAATATATATATATAAAGAAAAAAATTTAAATTTTGGAAATTTGTCATTTTTTTTTCAAATAATATTATTACCAAAAAGACTCCAGATTACAAAACAAAATTCTTTTTTATTAAATTTTAAGCATATTTGTTTTGCTTCAATCAGAGTCTCTCTCTCCTCTATCTATCTATCTATCTATATATATATATATATATATATATATATATATATATATATATATATATATATATATATAAATTCTCAAAATGTGAGTATGTGATCAGATGTTGTTTATGCATTTCCGCAGTTTTCATCCGATTTGAAGAAATTTTTTTCCTTGATAGATAATTCTGCAATGCCAGTTTTGAGTCCAAACTGTTGGCGACAATGGCTCTCCACTACTGCCTGTCCATTATAACTCTCAGCAACGTTTTACTATCTGTTCCTGGATATATATTTTTCATAAAAACTTTAATAAAAAAAATAGTCTAAATTATTACAATAATATTATTTATTTTTATACAGTTCCGTTTTCATGGCGAACACCCCCCCTACAAATTGTTACCCCCTCCTATTTGGGGATATACCTCAGTTGCATCCAATTGTCGTTTCTAATATTGATTTTCAGGTGGGCTGACTTTAAACTTAAACTGCTCCAAATGAATGACAAAATTTTCCAGTAAAGACCCGGGCAAAGACGGGTTATACTGCTAGTTGAATTTACTTAGTAAAATGGTTACATCATTAACAACAAAAAAAAAGATTTTTAATATTTATGATCTGCAGTGCTTAATCCATATAAAAAACTAGCAGCATGGCCCGGCGTTGCCCGTGCTTGATTAAAAAATCGTACGACTTATACAGCAATTTTCTTGCATGGAAAGGAAAAATGGAATGGAGTTTGCGTATCACTGGCTGAGGACTTCAGTGTAGACCACATTTTCAGCTTTTTGCGATGGTGAATAAAGGAACACATCCGTGCGCCTGCCGACGCGAGAGCAAGCTACGTAAAGTTGGCCGTCTGAGAAGCACTGCTCCTCTCAGTGTACACCAATGACAGACAGCGTTTGTCCTTGGGCCTTCAAACCCTTCAAA